AATTAAACACAAATTGGGCATGGCATTTACTCACATACCATCCCTGGTGGCATGGGGTTAACAATGGAAAATACATTTATGTAAACTAACCAGTTCAGACATTTTTAGACACAAATTTGTTAAAGCAGCAAATGATTTCCACACTTTAGAAAGTAAATATAGTCTAAGAAAAAGCAGTAACTACCAATTGGGAGTTGTAGGCCACAGAGGATTCACAGGGACAAAACCTTAAAGAAAAATATTGTAGGCCAATTAGCTAGGGGTTTTTCATTATTCATAATAAGAATGTACTAAGGAGCTATGTCTTCAAGGATATCATATACAGTTGAATAAGTATTTTTAGTGTAAGATTATATATGTCATCAGAGAATTATGAATTGAAACAGCTGATATTGAAACAATCTAGTAGCAAGTGCAAACAAAGTTAGGAATAACTGCCTTAAAAATTGCACCAGTCATATTTATTTCATCATAAGAACGAAATACTTTCTTGTGCAAAATTTGATGATGAGGATAGTGCAGTCAATTTGTAGCAGAACTTTTCATAAACACAAGGAAGAATTTGAGATATTGCCTACTGTGTTAAATCCTACTAATTTTCATGTCTTACCTGGTATAGGACTCGTTTTGTATGATCTTGCTCCTGTGTGTGTTTTTAATGCTCTCTTTCAGCATTTGGAAGTATGCTTTGCTGAAGAAAAGAGGTAATTTGTTAACAAAAAACAGGAAAGAAGAAAAAAAAGTAAACTTCCAGTTTACAATGTTTACAATAACTTATGAACCACATGATTTGGATTGTGAATCTTTGTTATAGTTGTTTTAGTCTAATATCTTCATAATACAGTGATATGAGTATGGCAAAAACATTATACTGCTGAGATCTATATTTTTTTCTCCCCTTTTTTCTTTCTTTCTTTCTTGATGTGTGGGTAATCTTGAAGTGTGTCTTCTGTTTTACATAATTCACTTATGAAAGGAGCTTAGAACATTTTGATCGTCTCAAAAAAAATAAGTATTTAGATTACAAATGCAGAAAATTGGAGTACCTATCTATATGTTGTTTTTTTGCTTGTTCTCTCCATGATTATGCAAATTTAACTTTTATTGAAGAGCAAGCCCTGTGTAATTGGTAGTTGTTGCATTGCTCTTTGTTTACTAGGTGATGGAAGATGGTAAGTTTGCAAGGAAAGGATGCTTAAATATGCTTTTACAAAATTCGAGATGTTGAGTTAGTATTGGCTACATGGACCACTGTTGGACAGGCTTAGTTCTTAGTTTTTAATTATTAGTGTATGAATCATTTGTGTATATGCAGATGGTAATGATTAGTGAAAATGCCTTATAAAGTCTATGCAGTTTATATCAGATTTACTTTGTGTTCTTCATCTTGGGGAAAAAGTTTTAGCAAGATATTATTTCAGCCTTTACATTTAATGTGTCACGACTGTATTACTAATTATGGTATTGTTAAGAAATTCAAACTTATAAAGAGCTGCAGCAGAGGTCAAGGCATACTAACATGGCTATCCTGATCTGAAGAACTTCATTGGTTTGGGTTTGTTTCTGACTTGCTGGAAAATGTACAGTATGGTAAAAAACAGTGAAGAGAGAAATAGTTCATGCCTGCAGGTTCTTTACTCAGGCATTGCATATATGTTTTGTTATTTTATATTTATGCTTACCACATTTATTCCTGTTTGGCTTATATTTCTCTTTGTTAGATAAAGGTAGATAGAGGTTTTTAGATGATTATTATTGTCTTTTTATTGTATGTAAATGCTTACTATATTTTACCAGATATAGAAAAGCAAGAGGAGACCCATGACTGCAAATTCACCTGCCATGTGAGCACCTGCTATGACATTGTAACTCTTCCTGATGATCCTCACACATTTCTCACCTGTGGAGAAGATGGAACTGTGCGATGGTTTGACTTGCGGGCAAAGGTGCAGTGCACAACAAGAAATTGTCAGGAGGTAGGCCTTTTTTCTTTTTCTTTAATCTTCTTGCTTAGTGATATTATTAGGAATTATTTTTTCACAATTTTTGTGTTTCATGTCTCTAATAAACTGTTTCACTGGTGCAAGCTCATGCTGAAAGATAAAGAAACACATAGAAAAAGTAGATTTAGCTTTTGTGAAAGAATTTCATAGGTTCCTCTGTAAGTTATTGTTGCATTGCAAAGGAAAGAAAGTTAAGATAGTTTTTAACCCTTTGTCTGTTAATGAGGTAGATGTTTTTCTGCCATCTAGCCAAAAATGGTGTAATCAAATAGAAATGTGCTTATTTGCCAAAATTTAAAATTAATTGATAGAAAACATGCCAGAACTTTAATGCTAAAAGCCTGATCCACCTCCATTGCACCACCAAGCTGTGTTATCTCAGTTGAATATCAGCATTTCAAAACTGACAAGTTGTTTTCCAATTCTGTTTTGGTGTGAATGGGATGCAGTCAGTGTTAACTAGTATATGTGGTACAGTTTAGCATCTTTACTAGAGCCTGAAGACCACACAGAGCCATTTCCTCCTTTGCATATAACTTCTCAATACTATATTGGTCCTTCTGTGTGCAAAATCTCAATCAAGTTATGAGCTTTCAGTGCTTATCCTATCCTTGCCTGCTTGTGGTACGATCTCCTCCTTGCCCTTTATGCAGTCATAACATGGCATGATGAAGCTACTCGCACCATAATTTTTGTTTTCACTTAGTATTTTGTGTATAAGAGGTAACTTTTTCAGTTGTTTGGTAACTTTAACATTCTAGCATGAAGCATGCATTTTCTGCTGTGTAAAATCCAGCGCTTTGAATAGCCTTTCACTACCTAGGCTCCTTGAAACTCATGTTTATAGCTTTCTGGTGATTTTGAAATTTGATTATTAGAGTCAAAATGAATTTTGAAGACCAGGCCTCACTGCAGGTTTCCCCAGCATTTTTCTCTACATCTAGTTGATGTCTTCCATTATCATGTAATTTTAGATCTTCCCCCTTTGTTTTAGCTTTGAATAAAATATGTTGCCTGCATGCGACACCTCAGACAGACAGAATTCAGACTCCCTTAGAGACCAAATCTTTGGTAGTCGCTGCTATGGAATGCCCAGTTCCTGCATTACCATGCTACCATGATATAATTAACCGTTCACCTTGGTCTGAAACTCGTGCATTTTTTTGACATTGATTAATCCCTTGGATCCAAGTGATGTGGATGCCTGGTCTTAAAAAAGATTTGGTAAGGGAAAGATAATCAGAGTTACTCATTATGGGGAGAAAATTGGCTTAGGGTTAGTGAAGGCAACGTCTCATCATGGGAAACTGTTACTAAGTGTTGGGTAATGGGGATGTCTCATTGTGCGTGCTCAAAGCACTTGGAAGATTATCATCCTCCTACCTTGCCTGTGAGAGGTCTGTGTCCGGAAGGAACACTATCTCAACGCACTGAAACCTATTCCTAATCCCAGTTACTGGTGGTGTAGGATCTTGTACCAAGTGCAAAATACTTGGAGATGATATGGGGTCTGCTTAATGGAAACAGTGTTGTGTTATATAACTATAAAACAATTTCCAAGTTCAAATGCTTCTCTCTCTCTCACTCTCCTTTCTCTCACTTTCTTTGTTTCCTATCTCCTCTCTACTTTCTCTCTCCTTTGTCAGGTCAGAGTTGTAAGGGGATTAGTAAGTAGGGCCATGACTTGTGAAGTTGTTCAGAAGTAGTTACATAACGTTTTGTTTTGTAATTAACAGGAGAATGAATTCTACTTCATAGATAAAAAAAGGTTTCCTGCATGCCTATATATTATTATGGCAAGTCCATAAAATGGCTAGAAATGTCTCCCAGTAAATTTTGTCTATGGTATGTATATATACCACAAAAAGAGACAAAGGGTTAAGTGCAATGTTTATGGGAAAGACTTATTATATGGCATTTTTTCTGTGAACTGTTTAATTAAGTCAAAAACCACAGATGGTATTTTAAGGCTTGTCCTATGTCAGTGAGACAATATCTTCTATATATTCTCATATGTTTCAGGACATTCTTCTAAACATGGGACGTGCAGTAACTGCAGTAGCGGTAAACCCTATTACACCATATCATTTGGCTGTGGCTACTCAGGATTCAACCATCAGAATTTATGATAGACGTGTCCTGGGGACTAGAGCCACAGGTAAGAAGACTAATATAGTAAAGGAGGAAAGGCCATATACCACTTACCTGTATGCAATATGTATCATATATGACAGTTAGGCATTTGACTGTGTAGTAAGGCTTGTCTAAAGGTGTTTCCAATCAGATATATGATAGTCTAATTACATATATCAAATGAGTACTTCATGCAACCAGCACAGTTGAAAGAATATGGGAAAACAAAATAAGAGAATAACCAACACCTAGAACCCCTTAAATCCCAGCTACTCCTCTTCCCTCCAGCTCTTTTGCCATGAGACACCACTAATTAAAAGAACCTGAAGTCAAATGCTCTATAGAGCCTACCTATGATACAGAGAAATGTAGTGTATGGCCTCATTGTCTGGTTCTTTGTGGTCTATTGCAAAGATTGGTTATAATACTTGTTCAGCATTATTGCTGATGAACATTGCAGCATTGAGAGATATGTTAGTGAACTGTATAGTATTGTAATTAATCTTTGCTTTTTATATTTGTAGATTCCTTTGTGGAGCAGACAGACAGAGCTCTTCTTATGAGGCTGAAACCAGACAACATGGAAGGCAAGAACCATAGAGTTACATCTTTACGTTATAGTCAGGATGGGAGAGAGGTGCTTGCAAGTTACTCCTCAGATTATTTATACCTTTTTGATACAGAGGTAAGGTGTTTTGTATTTTGTATATTTTGATATTATTTAAGGTGTATGCTACTGTTGCAGTGTCCTGTGAAGTTTTGTTATTACAGCTCTGCATTATACTGAAAAAATATATTTTCCACATTTTTATCATGAAAAAAACGGTTTAAGAATGATACAGTGGGTATTGTTCATTTGAAATATTGATTTCAGAACTTTAAAGAGATTACACTTGAAGGTGCTAATGATGTCGATATGGAAGCCAATTCTGGACCCACTTTGAAACGTCTGCGTCTCAGGGGTGATTGGTCAGACACTGGTCCCCAGGCATTACCAGAATGTGAGATGCGCAACCAAGCTGGAGGTTAGTATCTATTTCAGCCCCGTCAGTTTTAATAGACTAACTTCTTTAGGTTATTTTTCATTTTTTGTAACTCCTTGTAGTACCATACAATTACTGCTCTGCATGACTTTATTAAGAATTAATATAAAAGTAATTTAGACAAAGTTTTAACAAAAACAAATTATGGGTTATCCTGCTCTGAATGATCGTCTGTTAACTTTAACCACTTTGATCTAGTCTGCTTGCTTATTTACTGTTAAATGGCACAAACTAATTGCTCAGCAACCCCATTATCTCAGCATGATGTCTAACTCAAAACAGTATTATTAGAGTAATTGAGCTAACCCAAATCCCCCTACTGAGGCAGTGCTGCACTCTTATAGCATGTCTCCCTTAAGAGCTAGAGACTTTGTTCCTCAAAATTGAGTCTTGTAAGATCAGGAGGAACGCAGGGAGTGTCAAACATGAAGCCTACTGCACTTTCAGTTGGCCATTTACTGCTCTAGCCATACAATGGCTTTCATATAATTTTGTTGGCATTTGGATTTTATTATTAATTAATGTTGTAGGTGTGCTACTCTACACTGGCTTCTAGTAAATAAATACTCAGTTTCATTGGCTTGTTTGATTTTGATACCTTTCATAAAGCACAAGAGTTGACAAGATTCACGTTTCTAAAAGCGATTGTAAACTGCTCGTAGTTAACCCCTTGGATCTGGGTGCTTCACTGCCTGCATGTGGCCCAAAATCCAGGCATTAGGCTTACTTGAGCGGGTACTCAGACGTGTGGCTTGTAAGCAGGGTGTACACAAACACTCATATGCGGGGACAAGACTCCATGTCTCCCATTTGCATTGCTATATTTTCATAAGTGCTTTTTTGCTTTTTGCCATTTCCTATTTGATATGCTGTATCCAGATAATAATAGACTGCTTTCCTAGCACAGACTTGATAATAACAATAAGTAACATTTTGTTATGCATCTTTTTTTCATAATATTTTATTTCTTGTAACAATCTGCACCACCAGTAACAGTGAACAGGAATAAAAGCCTAAGCATGGAAATGGTGGCATCCTTCCTAAATCTAGAGCACTTCCAGTCATGGCTCACGAACAGTATATTCTGCACTTGTTTATTGATGGAAATAATGCAAAATCCCCTTCCTAAATGCCCAATGAGTCTAATCACCCTCCAAGAGCTTTGTGTATTCTTGGCACGTTATTTCCTTCACCTAGGCCCTCAGCCAAATTTCTCATGACAGCAAGTTCCCATCGCCCCAACCATCAACCATGACTGCATGATCCCCTCACCCACCCCTCAAGCCAAAATTTTTCATGACATAATGCTCATGTCATTTGGATCGTAGGGGTCAAGTTATCAGGGTCCCTTACTATGTCAATTCTGCTGTAGGAAATGAGTTTGACACCACTGATCTGGCAGAAAGTTTTACAATATATAGACCATTACAGTTAGAGTAATGTCATTAATTTTAGGATAATTATGTAAATATGCGTGTGTGTGTATTTTGTGTTTGTGTTTTGTGTGTCTGTGTGTGTTTTTTTTTTTTTTTTTCTCTCTTTCTCTCTCTCTCTTTTTTTTTTGTGTGTGTTTGTTTTGTTTTGTGTGAAAGTGAGCGAGTGAGTGAGTGAGTGAGCATGCACACATGAGCATGTATGTCTGTGTGTGAGTTTGTTTTTAAATGTATGTATATTGATGTATCTATTTATGCATGCTTTTATTTATTCAAAATTTAGTGAGGAGTAGATATGATCATTAGCAATTTTCAAATTATGTACTGTATCTTGTGTTTGTATATTTAGGAATTGATGCTATTTTTATATTTGAGTCTTTAAGGGGTCATTAGGTCTAAGTCCAAAGTGATGAATTTTGAACTTTAAAAAAATAAATTATATGCTTAAGGTAAAATTAAATGCAAGAGCACTGTCTGTTTGATAATACAGTTAATATTCCTTCAAAATGTATGCAAAGCTTTTTATAATGAAATGATGTCTAGTATTTTGTCATGCCTAAATTTTGTAAAGTACCCTCCTATGGAAGAAGTCACAATTTAGCTAGTTGTGATGGTGAGGTAATTTGAGATCTTTTCTACAGATGTTGGCCAAGCAAGACCAACATTGCATGCAACGCTTATGCAGAGGATGACAGACGTTTTGTCTAGAATGCTAAATGATCCGGGCACTAGAGCCACAGTTCAAAGAACAACTTCAGAGTCTGAGGCACAGAACCCTTCAGAATCTCCCTCAGAAAATGTAAGAGATGGAGAGGAAACTGCAGACGCAGTACAGCATTCAGTAAGTAACGTGACTGAGCCATCACCTTTATCTTCTTTGGAAGTCCCAAGTTCAAGTATTCAGCCAACCATGACACAATCTCCAGGAACGTCAGAGGATAATGCTGCTCCAGAGAGTATGAACAATCAGTGTAGTGAAAATGAAGAAGCAGGAGAAAGACTAGAACAAAGTGCCACACATAGTTTGCCAGAGCCACAGCAAGACCCTCAAGAAGCAGAACAAGCAAGAACCACCCAAGAGACAGATGAAACACCACTTGAAGAGGAGGAGGAGGAGGAGGATGCACACATGAAAGACTCTCAGAGAGCTACGTTATCAGGTCTCCGACACAGGCTATCATCACTGAGACAAGGGTTTGTAGAAAAGTAAGTTTTTTAAAGGAACTCATAGATAGTTTAGATACTGTATTTGGTATTTATTACAATCATATTTTTTTTCATAAAGTCTTGAAGGTCAGTTCTGTAGAATATAAAGAAAATTATTATCTGGTAGATCCACAGGCCTTTAAATGTTAGGTTTAGTTGTTACTATGTTCTTATACTTGCACAGACACCAGTCTGGCAAAAAGCAACTGTGAACATATGGCCTTTACCAGATTTACCTTGCTTGTTGGAATGGAAAATGTTAATATTATTTAAATAGATTTTTTTTTTTTTCAACTGAACTGTTTATACCGCAGATACATAAATTGTGATAAGGAAGTGGTACATGTAAAGATATACCCATTTCCTATCTTTTTTATCTGTCTGTCTTTCGATCTCTGTGTATCGAACTTTTCATCTGTCTCTCTGTAGACATGTCTGGTAAGTATAACCATCATTTTCAAATCTTAAACTGATGCAAAGAAAGACTTTCTAAATTTGAATTAAAGTAAATATTGTATTACCTATTTGTCAGCATATTGAACTGCATGGAACAATTTGCAGTCCCTTGTTTCTCATGAGAAAGATTGTGTTTAGTTTGATGAGAAGTGCATTTTCCTTTTTCCCATTATGATAGCATTAGTCACAAAGATGAGTCAATAGATGGATGGAAGATCCTCTTTTCCTATATGAATGTTCTGGGGCATAGGTTATTATGGTGTTTTTTGTGGAGGTATGATAGCCTATTCATAAATGTCAACATTTGGTTGCATAGTACATGCAAAAAGCAGGGAGAGCAAAAACATGAGAAAGATCCACTCAAACATCCCTTTGCTTTTTAGTGGGCATATATATGGGCTTGGCACAGCTAGCTGGCTCAGAGATGGTGGTGGGGACATAGAGTGAGCACTTGTTGCATCAACCTGACTAGTAGAGGACTGCATTGCCAATAGTAGTCATGATGCAACTTGAAGAACTTGGCCAGGAGAGATAAGCCTGTAAGTGCAAGTGCTATTTATTTCATTACCTTCAAAATGTGGTCGTTGAAAGAGTGTGAGCTCAAAAGATGACTACTACTACAGTCACTTGGATGCTGTTGAGGAAATTCGTAGGTCACCTTCTGCCAGAAGGGGACAGACAAGGCAAAACAAAAAATGTTTACAAAAGTATATAGGTGAACCAAGCAAGGAGAAAAAAGGCATTTGAAGAGAGGGCAAAGGAAACCAAGAGAAAGCAAACCAGTCCCTCAGTCCTCATTACAGTGTCCTCCCCAAGCAATCATACATCCACAAAAAATGATGAGTGCTTCCATATTCTTTCCTGCTTAACCCAATGCCACTGGATGGCATGTACATACATGTCATGGCTATTGTGGGCAACATAGCAGATGACATCATATCACAACCATTCCTGCGCTGTTGGCTCATCGGACAGAGCTTGTTTTTCTCCAATAGTAGCAATATCATATCTATGCTTAAACTTTTAGGCAATAGCACCTAAAGTGATTTTTTAAAAAGTTTTTGTAAATATCAAAATAAAAGCTTTTTTGCCAGATTTTTTTACCAGGGGTTGATGGGAGCTCATTCTTTTGTCCTGCACAAAGGCAATAGAGAAAACAAAGCATTTGGAGAGGGAAGAGGCCATGGAGCACAAGAGAGAGCTATACTTTTTCCCTTCACCCTCTGCCTCTCTAAGCAAAGAGTGAAGGAAGAAGTAAGGGGTCAGACAGAGAGAAGCAAAGTGAGATGGGGAGCAGATAGAAAACTTAAGAAAATAGAAGTACAAAAAAACAAAAACAAAGAAGGAACAAAGATCACCACATCTATTAAAGGATGAGGCACAATAAGAAATACTCTTGGAAAAGTTATCAACCCAATCATGATGGGAGCCCCAGTGCCATACTGAACAATGTGTCAGGGTACACGTGGGGATATAAACGTATCTGGCAGTTTGAGACTTGTTGAGGAGAAAGGATGATGAGGACTTGAGGGATATTTGGGGTAGATTATCATAGATTTTTTGTCTCATGTTTTTTTTAGATGTACTGTGCAACCAGTAAAATGACATGGAGTCAGTGAGTTTGTATATCAAGTGAAACTATCATACCCGATTGCTAAACCTTTTCTATCAGAAGGATTAGGAGATAAAAATTTTAACGATGAACCCATTTCATGATACTTTGGTCGTTGCATAATGAAGAGGGTATATAGAATATTTTAATATCTTGTATAGGTTTTTGCATGGTAGACTTACAAGAAAAAAGTGTGATATTTTTACAATTATATCATTAACTTTGGAAAAGTAAAAACTTTTTAGAGTGCTTTAGACACATAGAAATTAATGAGGTATTTGAAATACAAATATTCCTTTATTATCCAGTTACCAAGTGTGGGTATATGTATATTTTTTTGTGTGTATGTATTTGTATGTGTACATACAAGTGCTCACACTTAGATTTCATGCTGGAGGTGTTATTTTGGTGAATGTTTTTTCACCAGTTTTGTCTCTTTAGAGTCCAGTCTTAGCTATTAATAATCCATAATCTTGAAATAAGGAGATAAAGATTTGGAGAATTTCACCATATAAAGAAAACCATATTTTAACTGAATGTAAAAAAAATGCACCAGAACTAGTGGCATGAAATTTATTTTGACCAAAGGTATTAACTCCTTGGATCTGGTTAGTAAATGGCAATTTACCAAAATGCGGGTATTAGCCTTACAAGATCGGTTGCTCTGCTGGGTGCGAGGCTTGTAGGCTGAGCGCACGAGAACAGTCATGTCTGGTGACAGTACTCTATACCTACCCTTTGCAATATTGTTTTCTCATGTTATGCCTAAGAATTTTGAGCTTTTTTGCCATTTTCCAATGTCCATATTTGTCATTTGATTTGCTGTATCCAGATGGTAATAGACTGTTTTCCTTGCACAGACTCCATATCATCCTCCAGGTAGTCCATACCTCAGTGCAAGAAAAAATTGAATATTTAACATTTTGTTATTTGGGTATTTTTATTTATTTTTTGTAATATTCATTTTTCTGTAATACAACCTGTCATGGCGGCCAGGAATAGGATGCTTAGGATGGAAATGGTATCCTCCCTGGAGCCAGTGCTCTCCCAGTCATGGCTCACTACATCCCACACTCATTTATCGATGGGAATAATGCAAAAGCCCTTTTCTAAGCACCGAATGAGTCTAATCATCCTCCAAGAGGTTTTGCTCTCGTAGCTAGTCTTTTGTGTCACCCAGGCCTTAAGTTGAAATGCTCACAACTGCAAGTTCACATCACCCAGCCTACAGCCAGATTTTCCCATGACGGTATATTCACATCACACGTCCCTTAAGCCAAATTCTTTCATAAGAGGATGGTGAAATCATCCAGATCGAAGGGGTTAAAACCAATTTAAAACAGACGTTAATGAAGCAAGTTAACTTGCACACACTTGTTCCAAGATGCAGCGGGTGGAGCTCTTTTACCCTCAGTGCATATCAATGACAGTCAGCAGTTGTGCAAAGCAAATCAGTCTTCATAACAATACGTACCATAATCACACACCTTGTATTTTCTTTTTCTTCCCTTCATTGTTTTATTTACAATTTGATAAGCATGAATGCTACACATGCACACACACGTGCCATGATCACATCATTAGCATGATTTTTGTGTGTGTGTGTGTGTGGGTGACTAATTTTAGACTAATACATCCAAGGAATTGCCCATGTGAATATCTAGCCACAATTTTTTCAGTTTCATGATCCAAACATATAGTGTTAAAGAAGAATTTATTGTTTAATTAATTTTTCATCATTTTTTCTTACTCTGATCTAATGGGGTTGTTATTTTTATTAAAAAAAAAAACTACCTACCTTGAAAGAACAACAGAATGTACAGAGATTCCATTAACATTTGCAATTTGTTGCACAAAAAAAGTACACATGGAGGAGGATGGGTGTTTTTCTTCTTCTTTCTTTTCCTGGGGGGGAGGGTTACTAAGTTAGAGTACTTAGAAGAATCCTTTATTCTTTTTCTTTAGGGGGAAGAAATTAAGATTCGGTTGTTACGGAATTCTCTTAGCTTTGCATTTACGAAGGAAGCAAGTTATGGGCAGGAAAACCGAAGATACTGCTTTTCTGTCTAAGCAAAACATGATCCTTGAAATAACCTTATTTCACTTTTCTGTCTTTTTTACTAATATCCTTAGATATGGAATGTCAGATTAAAGATAGTAAAATTTCCTGGCCAACCATCATATAGCTAAATGGATTGGGAAAATTAGAATTTTATCTTTGAAGACACTTTTTTTTAAGATTATCAATAAATTTGAAATGTTTGGTGAAGCCTTTATTTGATATCTGTAAGATACACTCGATTATATTTCCCCTATGAGAGTGCTTTATTAATAGATCCATTTGATCCCTCATTTGTTTAACCCTTGCTGATTTATATATCAGGTTGGTATCGTCACATGCAAAACTTACAGTTATGAAAGGCCTTCATTATAATCTAAATTGGAGACTAGCTGCCATATGATTACTTAGCTGTAAAATACTAATAAACAGTGAAGTAGTCAAATGTTATTGATTAATTTTGATCAGTATGACAAGTCTTCAGGCTTCTAAATATGATTATAAAATTTACTTTGTGGTCTCCAGGCATTTCATTTCTCAGATCACAGTCTGCTCAGTGGATGGCCAGTGGAGCTTGTGGAGTTGAATATTTAAAGAGATAGGTGGTTTTATTCATTGGGCATCCAGGGCTGTGTCCTTTAGTGGTTGATTTTTTATATTTTTAAAGAGGAATTCTGTCCTGTTGGGGTCCATAGCATTTTTTACAGTATTCTAAAGATTATTAGCGCTACTGTTACTCGGGGAGTACCTTTTGTAATAAATAGTATTATTGTCATGTGGCAGGTGATGGCTCATGTAATTTTTTCTTTCTTCTTCAACAGACATCAGGTAGAACCATCAATCAGCCTCTCATATTCTGGCCAAGGAGTCAGCAGTGGTATGATTAGCTTTGGTGTTGGAGATGAAGTCACTCGTAGCAGCACACCCAATCAGTCAGAACAGGACGTTGGTCCAAGTTTGACAGTACCAAGTACAAGTGGAACCACTTGCTCAGAGGCTCCAAACTCTGAGGAAACCTCTCAGTCCCAGGAAGCATCAAAACACAAACCTGAAAGAGGTGAACAGCCCTGCTGCTCATCAACTTCATCCTCCTTAGCATCATCATCATCCTCATTGTATCAGCCCCAGCAAGTTAGAGCTCATACATTAACAACTTCGAGTTCTAGTCCTGCCATCTGTGATATGGAAGTGGGAGCCTCATCTAGTCAAGAAGGGAGAGATACTTTGGGTCCTGAGGTTGTGACAGCAGGATCATCAAACCGGGGGGCAGTTGCAAGTGAGATAAACCTGGGACACACTGTAGGTATGTAGTGATAGAAAATTATTTAACTTTTTTTTCTTGAATAATCAGTTTACTACACAAGCAAATGAAGTTTTAGTTGCAGTAATTGTTATTTTAATAGAAAATGCTGCTGTTTATGTGGCTATAATGCACACAGATCTTCAAAAAAAAAAAAAAGAGTGTGGCTACCATGTTACTGCAGATTCTGTGTGAACTGCAGAAATGTAATTACCTGTATGTGTGATAAGACCTTAGACTATTTACTACTATTTACTGTTTACTGCTCCTTTGTAATTCTATATCATATTGTGTGAATCTGGAAGTAGTAATCATAAAGATTAGAGAAAAGGGAGATTGACAGTGAATGAATGCATGTTCTCTGCATAATTAATGCTACCTTTGGGGAGAAATAAGGAATTTAAGTCATTAACAATATGATAAAATAATCTACTGAAACGTATTATGGGCATTAGTATGGGATTAATATCTAAATGTTGATAAAGGAGAAAGGGTAAATTGAACCTTTCTGCTAGTATTTTTAAGAGGTTAACACTTGTCTGCAACTTCTAACAGATAAGAAATACAAAATAAGTATTTTACTTTTGGAAACTGTAAATTAAAAGCACAATTTTCCTCTGGCAGATTTTGGAGAAGATGACAGCGATGACGAGTCAGCAACTGCCAGGTAAAGTACTGTACATCCCCGCCCTGCATCCAGAAGCAGGAGGTGCTAAATATGGTGGTACTTGTAAGAGAATAAATGTTACATTTTTTTTTATGTCAGAACTCTCTTTTACGAAAGGCTTTCAGGAATCAAGTTTTGGTAATTAAAGGATGATTTGTATCTATAGGAGGGAAACATAACCTAATTCCATTTTGTAAACTTTAAAAAATTCATTGTGTAGAAGCAGAAAATGTTGATTTCTCATGCAAATAAATGTTTCAAACAGAAGCACGAGTGCACGTATGGCTAGTGCAATTGAGCGTGCTGTACAACGTGTGAAAGGAGAACGTGCTGCAGGTGTTGTAGGAGATAGAGAAGTATTGGTTCCTCAGGCTTCTGTCAAGCAGTGTTATAAAGGCCATCGTAATGCAAGGTATGGTTTGACATTTATTTAGACATCTTGAAGTTGTATACTCATAACTGAATAGAATGCTTCTCATAAATTTGGTGATTTTCTGCTTTTCTATTGCTATAATGGTAATATATTTTAAAGTTCTTTATTATGATTTTCTCATATGAAATCTTTTTCAGAACTATGATTAAAGAAGCTTGTTTTTGGGGAGACTCTCACGTCATGTCAGGATCTGACTGCGGGCGTGTTTTTGTGTGGGAGCGAAAGACTGGGAGACTAGTAATGCTTTGGGAAGCAGACCGACATGTAGTAAATTGCCTGCAACCTCATCCAACTCTACCAGTGCTTGCCACATCAGGCATAGATTATGATGTGAAACTCTGGGCTCCAGTTTGTGAAGAATCTCGCTTTGATGAAGCAAAGGCTCTAGGTTTATTTACAGGGATTTTTTTTCTGTATATTGCTAAAGTTGACTTTTTGTATTGGATGTATTTGATACTGCTAGCACTTAAATACTGACCAAAATAGTTTCTTGGATTTTAGGAAAAAATGAAGAATCAGACTATCAGTTATTTTACTCTTGATATTGATGTCCATTGTTAACACACTGGCACTGTATATGCATTGTTTATTGTGTATTGTGTTGTTTTGTTTACACAGATGGTTGCACAAGCAGTGTCACGAAGTAGTTAATTAAAGGCCACCATGATCTCCCCTGTTTTTCCCATTCCTTGCCTTTTTGGGAAAAGAAATCCCTTAGTGTCAGTTGTTATTATTATTGTTATTTTCATTATCATCATTATAGTATGAACTTTGATGATAATAATAGAAATGAAGGTTCTTCATAAAAGCTCAAAGAATAGGGTAAACAGGTCAGATCAAGTAGACCTGGTAACAGCTCTTTGGTAATTAAGCATCCCTGGGGCCATATATGAGTAAACAGTTAGTGAAGTTAGTGACAAATGTATGTATTCATGCACTGCCGGCATCAGCTGATTAACTAAAAAAATGGGAGCAAAGGTTACTTGAGTTGGATAGATAAACACATACTGTCCATGCATATAAATAAGTCTGTATGGCAAGACTTAATGAATATTTTTGGCTATAATGTCAGGATAGCAGTATGCATTTATATAGTGTGTAGAGAATAAATGGTTTGCATGATCTATATATCCTTTGTGCATTTAGTAAATACATACATTTACACTGATTGAATGCTACTATGATTATGCCTTTCATGTTATTTATAAAAGTTTCAGTTGTAAATTTGAAAGAGCAATAGGTTATAATTACAGTGTCTTCCCTTTTGGTTTTGCAATAATTTTTATGAAATTGTAGTTTTTATAAATAATCTCCACTCTCAGAAGATACAAAAGACATATACACAATAATTGAACTGTAATAAACTTCCTCGATTAAGTGTATCAGTTGTATTGGTATATGTTTAATAGAATTCAGAAGCTGTTCATGAAAAAAGTAAAATGTGTTATTCTATATAAACCGAAAATATTTTGCACTTTATTCACTGAGGATGCTTCTAAATTCCTCATTTACATATTATAATCACATACATATATCCGGTAAATTACTGCATGAAACAGCTTAAACTTTATCTATTTTTAAGATATAATGGAAGCACTTTGGTATCATTTTCATTCAGTTATATATATTGATTTACATATTTATTTACTATTTACTTATTTAATTTTTGTGTAGGATTAGGGTTATCTGCTGATTAAGGGTAGCTTTGCTTATTTTGCTTTCTGGTTTTTCAAGATAACAAGGCGAAATGAAGCTTTGTTAGAGGAGACGAGAGACACCATCACTGTACCTGCAACTTTCATGATAAGAATGCTAGCTTCTCTCAACCAAATTAGACGTGGCAGTAAGTAGTTGAACTGATTTTATTTAAGAATACTTGATACGGACTTTGCATGCCTTCCATAAAAGCAAAATGTTTGTCCTTCACATAAAACTGCATATATCTGACAATCACTCAATCTGGGTTTGAATTTTTAATGATACGGCTGCTGATGCTGCTGCGATATCCCTCAACTTGTCATGTCATATATACAAGCTATCAGGAATAGGCATACATTATTGAAAACACAAGGCAGTCAGTGTTAGATAGTGAGGCAGGCTTAGTCAAGCCCTTTATATTCAGTACCAGGTAATATTATTCTATGGACACCTCAGATTATATATATGCATTTACATACATGGCTATATCAGGAATAGATATGCTGTATGAGAGATGTAATATGTATGTGATGGACATATATGTAAATATATGTATAGTATATGTATATAATATATAATATTATATATATATTATATATATATATATAGTATTATATAGTATATATATATATATATGTATTAGTATAGTATAATATGTAATATTGTATATTATACATATAATGTATTCGTATATGATATATATATATATACGTATTAATGTATAATCGTATATATTATAGATGAGCGTATATCGATTGGATGTATATACACACTATATATAGTATACGATATTATACTACGCTATATATGTATACACCGTATGTATACATATATCGTATATATATATATTTATATGTATAATATATATATTATTATACCACGAATACTATATATATAATATATATTATATCACTATGTATATATATGTGTGTGTATATATAATATATATATATATTATATATATATAATATATATATATATATATATATATATATTACATACTCACAACAACACACACACACACACACACACACAACACACACACCACACAACACACAACAACCACACACACACACACACACACACACACACACACACACACCACAACCACATACACACACACACACACACACACACACATATATATAATGTGCACATACACATACTTATACATATACATATACATATTTGCCTTACTTCCTGGCATTGGCTTTAGTAGTTGATACCACATGCTTCATGGTCTGGTGAAAAGTTAAACAGCTATCAGGGTATTTGTTGAATATCAGTATTTTTTCCTCTCACCAAACCTACCCTGCATGTGTAAGATTGTCCCTCTGTGTGTGTAAAGACACTAATTTGTATTTATTTTTGAACAATTTTCTGTCTGCCAGGTATAGTGTCTGAACTGCTCTGGTCTATCAGCAGGCACAAAATGTTTTATATCACCTTTGCAAGGTGCACCTAACCAAAATAAATTTAAGGAAAATTCCAGTGGACATGCTCTGCAGGCACTTTCTCCCCCAAATCCTACTACTCTTGGCATGCATGGTTGGGGCAGGCATGTTGCATGCTGGTGGATGCTGATCTCCTGTCTTTCGTTTGTCAGGTCGTGCTCCCTTGGTTTGGGTCTGTGTTTTTTCTTGTTGGTCATTGCTCTTTCCTGTGCCCTTCCTATGCTCTATCTACTGGCTAAGTTGACTCTTCATTGGTAGGTTTTTATCTGTGACATTTTACATGGGTGGGGGCAGGTTGCATGGTTATCTGTATGTTTGGTTTAATGCTCCTACCTACATTTTTAATTTCCTTCATTTCACTTTATTCTATTTGTTCTTATTCCCTGTTGATTCCTGGTAGGAGGAGGACAGGCAGAGCCTATCTCCACATTCCCTCTCATTCTATCTTTTCTTTTCTTTCCATTTGTATTGTGAGATCAGGCCCTTTTTCCTACAGACATGACCAGTATTACATACATATCTTTTGTCTCTTGCTATTTCCCCCCATTCATTGTGGCTCTCTTGTTACCAGCTTCTTAAGTGCCAGACTGCTTGTGCTCTACCAAGCAGTTGTCTCCCTCCATGGTTTGTCATTGCCCACCCCTTTTGTATATGTGGCTTGCTGCCCAATGCCTGAGTGATCAAAAGCAACCCCCCTTGGAGGTAAGCTGTAATATTCACAGCTAGGATAAAACAGTCACTGGTAGCACTGTGTTACCAGTGACCACCCTGACCTCACTAGCTTGCATGTCATCCTTGGTTGAAGTGATGGTAGGCTCATGTTCACCCATGATCACTGCCAATGACTTTCCCAAAGATTGTTCATCAGTGTGTGCACCTGTTGAACATTTGGTCCACTGCATGGCCAGGTGACCTGTAGCACATGCAGTAGTTGGTTTATAACATTCTTAGCCTGTACATGGCAGTAGCTGAGAATGATGTAGTTCTATGTCTTTGAAATGGTAGCAAGATGGAATTTGATGCCACAGTGATCACAACAGCACTTATTATGGCCAGTATGTCTATGATCTGCCATGCAGAGAGCTATCCTATTCTTATTCGTTGAAGATGACTTCAGCACCTCTTGAAAGTTTGGAGAGAATGCCAGTGGCTTATGTTTTATGGAAGGGTGGGCACAGTAAGAGTGGTAGTAGTGTGATTGTGGACAATACTTACTGGAATTTTCTTGCCTTTTATTTTGGTCTGGTATACAATGCTCAAGTAATATTGAGAGTACTGAGTCGGCTGATAGACTGGCTGCTAGAACAAATTAGATACCATACCTTTTAGGCTGAAAATAAATGTTTATAATCAGTCACATATTTGCAAATTTACAAATATTTTTTTCCTCATTTACTATTTGTATTCAGTATCTCATCCTGATTCAGTCCAAACCCAAAATAGGACTCAGTGCTCACTTTTTATGTTCTATGAAAAATTATAATATATATAATATATATATATATATATATATATATATATATATATATATATATATATATATATATATATATATAATATATATTATATATTTTTCATTTCTTCTCTCATTTCACTTTATTTTGTGACTTTTATTCTATTTTTTCTTATTCTTTGTTGATTCCTTATAGGAGGGTGACAGGATTTTGTTTACACATAGATGGCTTTTTGAGCACTTAATCACCATCTACTAGACCTACTTGATCTCACATAAACACCTCATTCCTTGATTTTTTGGAAAGTTTTCTTTACAAATAATTCAAGGAATGGGTTTGATGGAGAGGTCAAGTAGGTCTGGTAATTGACTGCATGGGGACAAACAAAATCAGAGTGGACAAACCATTTAGTGGGTTAACATGAACATACCTAATATTTATATACAGTGTAGCCAAATCCTAACTACTTAAATGTACCCTCCAATCTTTTTGTAAATGATAATTAGCAGCAACACAGCACCTTTCATACAAGATTATTTTAAGATTTATATTATATATCAAGTGGGTAAAATCTTTTAAATTCATTTATGCCTAATGGAAATAACAGCTTGGCACTTAATTGATATTCATTAAATCAGTGAATAAGTCATTTGTTAAATACTGTGAAATGGTTTATTCAGTCCATTTTGAAGCATAACCAAAGATTTAGAATCAATTTACCTTTTGCATAGATCCAGAGAAAAATTTTGATTGCTAAAAAGTATATGTATTGTGCATGATTTCAGTATTCAACCTGATTTATGTAATGGAAGACCTATGTTGTAGTAATATGTGATCAGTAAGTTGTAGATGTAGCATCTTTTTAGTTGTTTGTTTTTAGCCTTACTATTTGATTTAACATCCTGATTTGTAATGTTTTTTTAATGCAAAGCTATGAATGGTAATTTTCCTGTTATGCTTCTTCTCTTTGATTTTGCATGTGTACTTAATTTGTATTTTGTTTGCACTGTATTAGCAGGTCACGTGATCTATTTAAGCAACTCTGACTAGTGAAACGCATGACAAGAGAAGAGGGTCCATGTCTGATGATGAGCAAGACAGCATTGTTGCAGAAATGTAAGGGAGGCAAGTGATTGCAAAAGCTAGATGGATTTTTTTTTTTTTCTTGTAAATCATCAACTTGTAATTCTCTTCTTTTTTCTTTTCCCCCCCAAGAGACTTGATAATTGCTTGGAGGATAAGAGCACCTTGGTTTAAACTTTGTGATGTCAATTTTCAGCTTGGATTTTCTTTCCTATAAGATCATTGTTCATGTTTTGTTTGATGTTATTTTATACCAATACAGTGTTTGTTGTGAAAGATAAACTCCATCTTTTAGTTATAGTCTTTCACCTGTTGGTGCCAGGTAATTACGCTGTTTTGTAAATTTTGTTTACTTAAAGATGGATCCAGAAGCACTTAATCACAAGGACTTGGTTAGTAGACCTAAATTACTGCACATATCCCCATTCTGTGAATTGTTGGTAAACAGTTTTATTTTTTCTAATGCTATTGACGGCATTATTGTTATTATTTTTGTGACATTGGGATTATGATGATATTATCAGTGCTAGTACAAGAAATAAAAGATGAAAATCTTTCTAAAAATTAAAGAAAAGGGTAAACAGGTGAGATCTGTTAGCATTAGTAATTGACTCCTTGATAACTAAGCTCTTGTGGAGCCATTTATGTGTAAGCAGAATTAATAAACTAAAATGACAGTGAACATGGCATGTACAGTATATGCCATCCTGGTATCAGTGGATTGAATTACTTGGAGTGTGTGATATAAGTAGTTCTGTGTTAAATTACATTGATTAATGCTATTTTCTGTCTATATAATTAGATTGTTTCTTATGTGACTCATAGTAAAAGTGACAAGGTAAAATTTATGCAATTTTTAAGCAGCCTTTGGGAGGTATTTTAGTGTGGTTTATGCTTATTAGCACTTACTCTTATGGGTAAAGGTTAATTAAATTTCTTCAGAATTGTACCTTGGTGCATGTAGAGTTTTGTTAAATTGCTCTCTTGTTATATTATGTATTTAGATATTATTTTAGTTTTAGACTCCTAGTCTCATGCCTTGTTAGTGCCTGATGTGGAAATGTAGATTAGATTAGCAGACTGTGATGTCCAGGTGAGTTATTTTGGTTAAATGGAATAAAAATATATATATCTGTCAATATTTATATCTACAT